GGTGACATACGTAATAGGTGGCGAAACCATTTTATTCCGTCTTTCTATGAAATACAGGCAGGACTTAGTGCCAATCTCTGCTTTTACCTCTCCATTGCTCGGCCTGTCTCTTCTTGTGATGTTATGGGTTTTGCGGAGACATTTCATCCTTCATGCAGTGATGATTTTGCTTTCATGGGTTTGACTCAATGTCTAGGTCTGGCACTGGTAGCATAATGTTGGTATGAATATTGAAGTGATAAGCTGTCTCTTTGTGTCCATGGTGATGTTTTGATGAGATCAGAGGGGTGCAGGCTGGTATAATAGGTGGCAGCGTTGGCTTTTTGAGTTCGCATTTCTATTTCTCTGTCTGCACCATTATAATTTAACAGAAATACGAATTTGCATACTATATTGTAGTATGCCTGTTGTTACCTGTCTTTATAGTTTTCCGGTAGATAAAGCAGAATGGAAACATCTGTACTATTAACAATGTTGTGCTCCTTTTCAAACATCACGTCAAAGGACAGGAATGTGCTGCCGTCAGCTGACTTCTTCTTCTTCTCGATCGCATCACACTTGAAGTCTGGTATCTGTCATAAATTGGGCCGTCCTGCTCAGTTCATCTGGCGGCCCGTATAGCTTCTCTTGTAGCGTCAGTGGGGTTGGCCACGTTTCCTGTCTCAGGGCCCTGTGTGTCAGCTGACAAAACGCCTTTTTTCCTTTTGGCGGGACATTTTTCTTATTTGCTAAATCGATAGTCTGACCTTTTACCCTACTTGTGTGAAAAAAATCAAAGTGAAACTGTGACTAGTTTTTGAATAAATTAACATTAAAAATTCGGAAGAACGCCTTTTTGAAATGGTTACGCTGACAAAACGCCTTTAAAAAAAAAAGTGTTCACTGACAGAACCCCTTTTTTCCCCCATGGCTTTGGAAAAAAGGCGTTCTGTTAGACACCCTGGGCGAAAACAGCGTTTTGTCAGCTTACGGCAGTGTGCTTCTTCAATTAGTAAAAAAAAAGAAAAGAAAGGAGAACGTGTTACGCAACAGCAGACACACATCGCTACCCCAGAATTACAAAGTTCTATCTGACATTTATTTTGGCCGTTTGGAGTTAAAAAGACCATGAGGTCAGATACCAAATGTTCTATCTGCTCTATCAAAATTATTCGGAGTCGTTATCAAGATATTTAGAGAATTAGATTCGAGAAAGCTTGACAAGTACTGAAACTCACCATTTGTGATGTCACGTTTCTCAAAACTAGGTGCTGAGAATGTAGAACTTTACAATTCGTAGTTAGCTACATAAAGCCAACAACTGCTGTGGTGCAGCAGGATTCAGAGAAAAGTTCTGTGGGTCCTTTTATTTCTAAAAAGTGATCTCTTTAAAGTGTTTCCCCTGAAATATATTCTCTTCCGTAATTTTTAAAAACCGCACAAACTGCAAAATTACTTTTAGTACGTTTAGTTGTAGTTTTAGTTAGTTTTACGGCACTTGTAACACCATAATGTCATATAAGTGCTGAAGATTAGAGGTGTTACAATAGAGTAACAAACACAAAAAAGGAGGAAGAAAGAGAGTTTTTGATAGGAATGAAGGAACAAGCAACACCAGAGCACTTGCCAACCACCAACTCAGTATGTTTAGTAAGGCGATACTTTTTAACAACATCAAATAAACGACACTTACTTTGTGTTCATCTCTCAACCCAGAAATAACGCGCATAACCTCAATGACTACTAACATACACTTTATTTCTGATGGAACATTTATTTCACAAAGTTGAGATTTGAGAAACAAATGAATGTGATAAATGGAGTGAAAGACATTGAGTTGTGTGAGCAGTGCAACAAGATAAATCTGAAGCGTTCATGACCTTTGGCATACGTCTTTGTAACATTAAAAAAATACTTTTCTGAATTCGACTGACTGTACGAAGAGGAAATACAGTTAGGCGCATGCGCCCTTACGTTTATATTGAATGGTGCACTTTTTGTTTTAGTGTCGACCGAAGAATGGGAAGGATAAAATTGTACCATCATGCAATCAACGGACAAGAGCTCTTGTGTGGGATTAACGGCTACTCATCCTCTAGAAGAACGGTTCTTTTCAATGAACTAAACTTAATAACTCATTGTTTCAGGTCAGTTCCACGTTTTGAAACGTGCACAACTCAATTGAACTACTATAAAAATATCAACTCTTAAGAAAATACAATACTTTCTTAAAAAGGTTTTGGTGAAGTTGCTGAATGAAAGAAGAAGAAAAAAAATTGAATATTAAGGAGAATGGAGAGAAGCTAAATAGTATTATACAATGATAGCAGCTCTCTTAATTCACTTTAGCAACAATGCACTATACGTAATTTTACATAAATCCACGCAACATCATCACCATAAGTGAAACATTGTTCATTGTTTCAGGAATCAACATTCCTGCATTCCGGACATGTCCATTGATGCTCCGCCCGTTGCTCTCTCCGAAATGTCACCGAGGGTCTTTCCATTAATTGTGCCTGTGCATACCTGGTTGAACGTTCTTCTGTTATTTCCTGCAAGGATGACATATTTTCCGCTTCCTTTTTGGTATTCCCAAAGTGACCCGAAAACCTGTACAGTGGTTTGTATCCGAGAGTATTCTGTTCTGTTGCCACAACATTGTTTCTAATTAACTGCCAGTCATCAGTTTAAGAAATTCTGAAATGTAGAACATTGATAATCATCAAAGGAAATTATCAGCACATCTTTAGAAAAAAAGATAAAGGAATGAGATATCATTACAGCGACAGCGGTAATCCTCTTCAAAGATCAAAAGATGAAAAAAAAATTCTGATTGAAAGACAACCAGGGGCACCTAAGACAGTTATTCCGTTGAACTATCAATCACCATAATTTCTCAGAAAATCAATTAATTAAAAAATTTTTTTTTTTAAACCAATACCTCAAGAACAATCAAACAGCCAGTCAACTTTTCTACTATCCAACCAACCCACCAAACATCAAATTAATGAATCAATCAAAATATTCAGCAAACCAAATGAACAATCTGACACTTAACATATCAATAAACAAATAACTTACCAAAAACATCCATCCACCCATCCATCCATCCATCCATCCATCCATCCATCCATCCATCCATCCATCCATCTATCCATCCATCTATCCATCCACCAACCCATCAACAAATCCCTCCCTCCCCCACCTCACATAATGAATCAGTTTGTCAACTAACAAGTAAATTTTCAGATTTAACTGTATAGCGCATATCCCCGCTCAACTGCAGGCTCTATGGGCTTTACACTGTATTATTACCCCAGCAGACTATAGAACACTCCGAAACATTCTCAGCTTCCCGGGAAGCATAATAACATTAACAATAACTATAATGATAATAATGATAATAATGTTATCATCATAATAATAACAACCCCCCCCCA